GGCAACGAATGTGCTTAACACAATGTATGTATGTATGGATTGTGATAAAAGTTGTATGAGCCCCCAATTAAATGATTAAAAAATAAAGGAATATGTTTATATCCATAGAGTTATTTGTATAAAATGCAGAAGTCATATTTGTAATATGGATAATTAAAAGCAACCTAAAGGCAACACAAGTGGAATAAATAAATCTATTACTACACACCCATGTAAGAAGGAGCCCTGCTGGGGCTCTTGGCTGCTTAACCTTGGCTGCTTGGCTGCTTGGCTCTTGGCTGCTTAAGCTCTTGGTTGCTAACCCAAAGGGAGGTAGGTGGCTTAAACCCACCTCTGTGGAAGAAAAGTGTGGCAGAGTGCTTCTGCTAAGATTCAGAACTTTGGGAATCCCACAATTTTATCCAGTCTTTTAGGGCCACTATGACCCAAATCTACTTGATAGAAATGGATTTGGTTTTGAATTTATCTATGTAAGTATATTGTGAAGTTTTTAGAAAGACTGAGGTGGATCTATATGTGTATGGAAAGATTTCCAAGAAAAGTACAAAGGTAAGTTAGTGAATTTGAGGAATTTCTCTTCTTGTTCCACCATGAGCTATATACTTTCATTGATCATTGCAACTGGAAAAGTCCTATCACTAGACACAATATTTTAAGAATTCGCCATTTTAAAGTAAAGCATTCCATTTACAAAAATAGAAAGGTTCTTCAAAAACAAAAGCAAATGAAGGCAGGAACTCAATCAGGTAAGTGAATACCAATTCTAACCTCAGGGTTTTTTCTTACCATCTAATACTCTCATGATTTCCTGTAGCCTTGGGCATGCACTGGGTGGAGACTCACCCCTGCAGAATACGAGATCCCAAATCAATAAACTCTATCATCCCTAGTTCTGAGTAAACTGAAAAACAAAAACAAACACCACCACCCCACTCAAACCAAATCCACTGCCATTGAGTCAATGCAGATAACTTTTCTTTTCTGAATAGAAAGGAAAATTAATCTTCATAACTTCAAATTAGCTCTTTAAATTCTATGTACTAGTTGCTCTTCAGGGAGCACTGGTGGGGTTATGGGTTGGGCTGCTAACCCTGAGCTCAGCAGTTTGAAACCACTAGTTACTCCTCAGGAGAAAGAGTAACTTTCTACTCCCATAAGACTTACAGTTGAGGAAACCCACAAAGGCAGTTCTACCTTTCCTTGTAGGATCACAATGAGTCCGAGTTGACTCAATGACATTGAGTTTTTGAGTAATTGTTCTTGGAGGTACAGATAGGACCTCACTTTAGATCAATGTAAGCAAAGCAGAACTTGAATTTACTATTGTCCATGAAGGATGATGATGTGCTTAGCATTTTTTGAGAACCCATTGAGAAGGCCCCCATTTATGAAATATCAGTGACCAGATGCAAAGCCTTTATAAGTGGCCATTGGAAAAAAATGACTCTGTGAAAGGAGTTTCAGAAAAGTACAAGTCAATATTAAAATGAAATTATTTTAATAATTATCACTTCTTTTTATTGCTCATTTAATCTGATTACAGTGAATTATATAACCATAAAGTACACATTACATAAATCAGAAGCAATGTGAGAATAGATCTGTGTTTTTATAGGTAAAAATGAGTTATTAGATGAGGATGATAAAGTAGCCTTAGAACCAGGAAAACCCGTCCCCTAAGCAGTGACCGTTGCTTGGACAAAGATGGTTTCAGGATTCACTTGTGATAAAACCTAACCCAGATGCTTTGTCTAGAGTACAAAGCTTGCACTCTAAAAAGAAAAGACACATCAATGAAGTCAGCTAATTAGAGAAAATACATAGCCTCATACAGACGGTGAATGAATACTATGTGAGAACATGAAATTTCTAGAGCCTCATAGATGCCTTGCAGCTGCTCACACTGGAAACATGGCCACCATAACAGCAGAGTTCTTGAAAATTTTATTTAAATGTGAGCTAGCCCTCATTTTACTGACTCCTTCTCTGCTTGTCTTCTGGGGCCACCCAGTTGGAATTGTCTTGCTCTTCATCAATTCCTATCTATTATTTTTTTCTTATGTGTAGATCCAGAATTTTATATGCATAACATATTTATTACTTAAGAGTACAGTGCCTTCCAAGAAGTTAATTAAAATAATGATAGCTTTATGAGACAAATAATTTCACCACATGAAAAGCCTAAGGCAAATGCTTTAGAAGGAGGAAATTAAATCAGCAAGTTCATAACAAAAACATTCTTGATAAAAATGATGAAAGGTTTAAAGAGTTAAGTGAATTCTCCTTTCTGTCATAATTGTGTGCCATTCTCTCACGCACTCCTTATTTGGTTTATTTTACCAGATATTGTGGGGAACCAGAAATATTCCTTACTGTAAGTTTGTCCAGCATTTTTTGGTATGCAACATTTTCCCAATTCCCTCTTTGCTTATTTCAGCACTGGATATGATGCAAATACTTCCCCAAAGTTCTTCTTAGAGCTGCCTTCACCTCCTTGTTCTTCAGGCTGTAGATGAGGGGATTCAACATGGGAGTGACCACGGTGTATTGCACAGAGAAGATCAACTCCACGAGGGAACCTGAATTTGGCATAAGATTTCGGAGCAAACCTGAACCATAGTAAAGTGTCACGGCAGTGAGGTGGGAGGAACAGGTGGAGAAGGCTTTGCTTCTGCCTGAGGTGGAGCTGATGCTCAGGATGGTGGAAATGATATGTGCATAGGATAAAAAGACCAAGAGGAAGGTTCCCAGTCCATGTAGGAGAGTGGAACAGAGCAAGGCAATGATGTTCCTGGAGACATCAGAGCAGGACAGAGGGAGAATAGATGGCATCTCACAGCTGTAGTGGTGGATGATTTGGGCCTCACAGAATACCAGGTTCATAGCTAGGATGATATTGATGAATGCATCAAGGAAGCCTAACCCCCAGGAGCCCCACACAAGTTGCATATACAGCTGTTTATTCATGATCTGTCCATAGAGCAGAGGGTGGCAGATGGCAGCATACCGGTCATAGGCCATCACTGAAAGCAGACAGGCTTCTGTGCCTGCAGTGACAAACACAAAGAAGACCTGAGCCAGACAACACCTTACTGAGATTGTTTTCCTCTGAGACAGGAGGTTCTCTAGCATCTTGGGTACAGTGACAGAAGAGAAGCAGAGATCAACAAAAGAGAGATGTCCCAGGAAGAAGTACATGGGAGTGTGGAGATGGGAATCAGCCTTGATCACCAGTAGCATCATCAAGTTCCCCATCAGGGTTAGGAGGTAAATCCCCAGGAACAGCGCAAAGAGCAGGGCCTGGACATAGGGGTCCCCAGTCAGCCCAAGGAGGATGAACTCAGCGATGATGCTGTGATTATGCAATGCCATTTACAAAGGCTGTTTCCTAGAAATGATATAAAAATACATGACAGACAAGGTTCTACTATGCCTCAAGCAATCTTCCCAATGCATTGATTCTCTGCTATCCCTGCTAGTTAGTAAACATTTTTAGCTCCTCCTATGAAACAATGGGCGCAAACACAGCTGTGATTGTGAGGATGGCACAGGACTAGGTATAGTGTTTTGTTCTGATGCCCGTAGCATTGCTATGAGTCGGAAACGACTTATCAGCACCTAAAAAAACAATCACAACATAGCCTAGGTGTTGTGTCAGTTACTTGGAACATGCATATGTTGGCCTGTGGTTCCTACTCTTAAAATGGTTCCGATTCATTGAAGGGAATGAAGATAGCATGAGAGGCCTATCTACAGAAAATAGTGCCTATGGAAATTAGTTTGTTTTTTTTTTGAAAATCTTTTTTTTTTTTTAACTAACATTTTATTAGGGGCTCATACAACTGTTATCCCAATCCATACACACATCAATTGTGTAAAGTGAATTTGTACATCGTTTCTCAAAACATTTTCTCTCCATTTAAACCCCCGACATTAGGTCCTCATTTTTCCCCTCCCTCCCCACTCCCCCCTCCCGCATGAGCCCTTGATAGTTTATAAATGGGTATTTTGTCATATCTTGCCCTGTCCGACATCTCCTTTCATCCACTTTTCGGTTGTCTGTCCCCCAGGGAGGAGGTCACACACAGTTCCATGTAATCGGTTCCCTCTTTCCTACCCATTCTCCCTTTACCCTCCCTGTTTTGCCACTCACACCACTGGTCCTATAGGGCTCATCCGTCCTGGATTCCCTGTATTTTCAGTTCCTATCTGTACCAGTGTACCTCCTCTGGTCTAGCCAGACTTGCAAGATCGAATTCGAGTCATGGTAGTGGGAGCGGGGAGAAAACATTTAGGAACTAGAGGAAAGTTGTATTTCTCATCATTGTTACATCGCACCCTGACTGGCTCATCTCCTCCCCGAGACCCCTCTGCAAGGGGAGGAAATTAGTTTTAAATTGCTGAACGATGTCTCACAATTGGTGAAATTATGATGGCTAATGGTGCTGCCTTCAATTTACATGGAGGGAATATGTCATATTTTCCATATCTGAGCTATGCCTCTAGACAGATTATTATAAAACAGCTAAATTGGTGGAAATGGAGCTCAAAATGTGACATGCAGAGAGATCAGTATTAACATGACATCGTATTTGAGCAAAACTTTTAAGACATTGTCATTGTTTTTGAAACATATGTATTTGTTAATGTGTATTTAGAAACATATGTATTTGTTAATATGCATGAACAATGTGTTCAAGACTGAGAAAAAGTAAGTAAAGTTGAATTAAACATGGGTAGTTCTGAAAAGCTGATGCTCAGCATATAATTGACACCATGGATCAATGGCTCAGCATGTGATCTCTTGGATCAGACTACATTCAAATACCAACTCCACTACTAAGTAGCTATATGACCTTGTTTGCATATGATACATACAGTTTTTACATCGATTGCCTTGTAGCTAAAATATAGATAATAATAGTACAAAAGATTTATGGATTAAATATGAAATTATATAAAAATCTATTTGAAAAACACCTGCTCTTATTTATTTGACATATAAACCAAAAAAGCCCCAAACCCTTGCCATTGAGTGATTCTGACTTATAGTGAACCAATACAGGGCTTCCCAGCCTTGGTGACTCAGTTCAATAAGCATTGAACTGCTAATGAGAAGGTTAGCAGTTCAAACCCACTAGAGGGCTTTTTCCATGGGAGAAAGATTTGCTCTAATAGTTGTCATTAACGATTATTCTAATTTTATTCATAATCATTACCATAGTTATTGATATTATTCTTTGAGACTGTTATTCTCAAAATCAGGCAAAATATGATAGATTCTCATATAGGTTGAAAACCCCCAAAACACACTGTCATTGAATTGATTCAGGCTCAAGGCCCTATTGGCACTGTGGGATAGGCATTGGGTTGCTAACTGGAAGGTTGGTGGTTCAAGCCCTCCCACCACTCAGTGGAGAGAAAGATGAAAAGGTTTGCTAGTCTCAGACACCAGAAGGTCTCTATGAATCTGAATCAACTTGTTGGCAATAGATATATTCGTGAAGAACTAAAACAAAAACCAAACCAAGTTGTTGCTGCTACTGCTGCTGTTATTATTCTTAATTAAGAGAGGCATAAGGCAATCACCTTGAAATCACTAATATTAGCAGCCACCTTGTCTATGACACCGGCTTCAAGGCAAATTAGCATTATTTTGGAGTGGGGATTCTCAAGATGATAAATAACTGTGAAGTTATCAAGGGCATTTTCACTCAGAAAAGAAAAGAAAACACATAATTGCCCTTAGCTGCCAGAAACAAGGGAATAGGAAGTGGTTGGGACTGGTCATTGATTGACCTTAAGACCCATGCACGGCATTATCAAGATGGATGTGTATCACAGGAAAGACCAGAGTCTCTGGGAAAGCAAGCAAGAAGAACATTTGAAAGAGTTTCATGTCAGAAGAATACTTAAAGTAGGATCCTGGCTGAAGAGCAGCCAACATAAATAACCCTTTGTATTCTGGACCATTATAAGGAAAGAAACTGGAAACTCATCTAAGGGACTTTGAGCTTAGGAAAGTCACTGGTAGGGTTCTTCTTCCTGTGGAGCAGTAAGTAGTAGCAGCAAGTTTATTCAGCAGATACTGAGATTCAAACTCTCTTTGTAGCCTACTTAAAATAGGAATAGCATATTTAATCCTTTAAGTGCTCTGGTTGTATAGCTATTTGGATGCATTTCTCTTGCATCCTGAGACATTTTCCTTCATGAAGAATATTTCTCCCAAATAGCAAGATGGAGCTCATGTCCCTGCGCTCTTCTTCTAAATCTTTCCATCTGGTTTGCAACAATGCTCTGCTTATTTGAACATGGAGTGTTTATCCATATCGTCTAGCTGTGTTCTCACACCTTTGTTTTATCACAGAATTCATCATGGTAGCCCAGTCAATTTCCTAGTCATGGTCATTGAAATACACTCAGTCTAGGCATGGGGGGAATTGCAAATCCTTATTTATTGACTCTTCACCCTTAAACCTAGCCTCAAAATCCTTCCCATTTCCCAAATACAGATTACCTGTACATTTTGTCCATTCAGGTTATCTATTCTTCATCTCGGCCCGGAACTTTTATTTGTATTCGTACAATAAGAAAGGAGTGGAACTGGAGAAGATGGCATTCTGTAGCTTTATGATGACTACGAAGATCCAATAGTGATGAACAACTGTACTGGATTCTGCACTGGATAAGATGAAATAGCCAGAGGGCAGCTCCTTCTTTCAAAGGGCTCAAGCACCTTTCTATTTTCCTGTTTCTATGTCATGTCTTTGCTTCTCATAGTATTGTCTGGTTTAACCAACCTGCAGAACGACTATGTTCAGACAACTGATGATGTTGATTTTCTGTCCTTTAACCCAGGGATGGTTGGACAACGGTTTTTATAATTGAGGGTTACAGCTTGAAGTGAGACTTAGTCATCAAGAACTTAGTAACCCAGGCTTTTGAAGGACCAAAGGGAATCTCTTAGGTGCGGCCTTCAGGACATATGGGTTGATGTAACAACAGATAATCATTAAATGTAAACTTCTAAATCCAGTGGGAATTTAAAGGAGACAGAGTATCCTAAAGGAGACAGAGTATCCTAAAGGGTATTTCACTGGTCCCCAGGAATACTTTTCAATGGACATTCTGAGTGTCTTCTCTCTGCAAATTTGTCAGCATAGCCACTTCCATGTAAATTTGCTATAGAAAAGTGATTTGTTGATTAAACAAGTAAGAACAACAATAAACAATAACAAAAACTTCACATTCATTTGCCTGATCTCTCTATTCAAATTTATTTGCTTTGATGAATCTGTTTAGTTTTCTACACACAGGTCCTATTTCAGCAGAGCACTCTCAGATTTAGGAGTACTTAGGAAAGCATTTATTTAATGAGTTTAACATAATTTTTAGTCAGAGAAGATGGTTAAGATAGTTATGGGAACCAATGTTTTAATTTATTTATAATGAACTAAAAGGTTTTCAATCAAACCACAATAATCTGACTTAACAGCTGTGCCTCATCATCACTTGCTAATTGTTAACTAAGCAATAGACAGACAATTCAAGGAGCTCTGGAATAGTCAAGTTCACTTCTCTAGAACATTTATTTTCTTTGTTACTAAATATAGAATTATAAATTGTCTCACTTATTTTCTTGGTGGTTAGTTTTGTGCATCTAAGAATTTATATACGTATTTATGAATGTATGTAATGGCTACACCCATGCATGATATAATTATTTTCCCCATATATAAAAATTTAAGTACACATTTAAAAATATGTGCGTCTATATGCCTAAGTTTGAATAACTCATGTAGAGAGTGTTATAATAGTTTCGCTACCAAGAACCTTGATGAATATTTTTAAAAATTATCTACTCTTTTGGTGTGTTTTTCCCTAGCAAAATAGATTAATAAATAGGGCTTGCTTAAAATTAAGATTAGAATTAAGAACTTCTGCCCATTGATTGAAAGACAACACTGAGAGAATGGAAAAGTAAACAAAACTTACCAATATACCAATCAATCAAAAACCAACAAACCTAAAAAAAAAATCCACTGATGAAAGAAGATAAATACAATAGATATAAATGAGGATGAGGCACACGAAAATATATATATAACTCCCACAAATAAATAATAAAATTCTACATAGCACATTTAAAATTAGCCAAAACAGTACACTGTCCTTTTATAAATAAGTATTTTCAACTACCCAATAAGCAAATTAGCAGATGCACAAATTTATTGCATGACGAACCACAATAAGATTCCATTATACACATCAACCACACATTATAATAATAATGATTAAAACTGTACATACATATTTTATACTATTTTACAATGGGGGTATTTTACACAGCAAAAAAACCAAGCTACTATTTG